TATGTATGTATGTATGGATGTATGTATGTATGTATATATGTATGTATGTATGCATGCATGCATGCATGCATGTATGTATGTATGTATGTATGTAATGTATGTAATGTATGTATTTATGTATTTATGTATGTATGTATGTATGTATGGATGGATGTATGTATGTATGTATGTATACAAACACAGTACTACTTTTTTATGTTACCATTTTCTTGATGTCAAGGGTTAACGCATCCAAACTCTTCAGGAATCCCGAGAATCCCATGACCACCGTGTGCCCGTGGTGGGTCTGCTGCTGCTGCAAAATCGAACCCGTGCGGAGCCATGGGGACAATCCCTGGGCCGCTTATGCGGTTGGCACCAATCAGGGCAACCCCGCCAGCATGAACGTGGCTGGCACCATCAAACCCTGAAGAAAACCCATGAAATTTCCTCCCAAAATGGGTATTTTCTGACTTGATGGTCATATTTTCATAGGGATCTGTTATGATCTGTTGTTTTTCCAAAAAGACGCGAAAACCAGGTGGGTAATCGGAGCATGCGCATGAACAACAACGACTTATCCTGGGGCCTTGGCACCTTGGTTTGGACCACACAGGTGCACAACTATGCTCCGCGCCTCTACCAGTGCCATTCAAACGCTGCGGATCGTCAGGCCTTGTTTGAACCCTATGTGCAATACATTCAGTGGCTCTGCAGGCCTGGAGAGAAGGGAAGGGAAGATGACTTTGAAACCACTGGAATATTTACCCATGTTTACCCCTAAATTTGGGTAGCACTGACTACTCATCATTTTACCTGTTGAAATTGCAATTTGCTGGGTATAGCCCATTTGGGGACTGTTTCTAATCTCTTCATGACCTCCCTACGTCAACATCCATAGGAAATGGGAGCAGCATTGGAACGTCATCGGAATCGAACTGCTGAACGAGCCGGTCTTGGGCGGGATGCCCAATTTAAAGCGCTTTCTCAGCTGCCGCCGAGACCTCTTCGATTTTTATGCCAACGTCATGGAAACTTGATTGGTGAAGGTAAACCCGTTTTGTGAGTTGGTTTTGTTACCCACTTTGATGGGAGTATATAATACCAAAAACTATTATCCAGTTTAATTGTGTTTTTTTCTTGCACTTTGCGGGGTTTCTTCTTTCCCATTCCGATAAAGATACCTTATCTCCTATGTTATTATTTGGTTTACGTTTTTCTCACTTTGATGGGGGGCAATATACTACTGCTATACTACTATCCAGCTTAAACATTATGTGTTTTGCCACAAGTGGCAGGGAAAACTTTGCTCCCAGCTGAAGTATTACATACATATAGAGATACATGCTGTAATATTACTCGGGATTGTAAGATGTAATATGCATGATACACAAGAGTTGTAGATACATACAATATCCGTATGACTGTCTATCTTATCTTACCTATTTTTTTTGTTTAATCTACATCTACATCTATATGGGGTTTCTTAAATGGGGGTTCCCCAAGTGACCATAGGCTTCAATACTAAAATGGTCTAATGACTTGGATGATTTGGGGTACCCCTATTTTAAGACACCTCCATATCTACAATGTATTGTATACCCTCTGCTAAACCAACAAATTGCTATTGAACATGGTCATAGAAATAGTTGATTTACCCATTATAGCTATGATGGTTTTCCACAGCAAACTGTTAGTTTACCACAGGGTATATTCCATTCAATCCCCTATGATGCTTCATATATATCCTAATCAAATAATAGTTGATTTACCCATAAAAAATGGTGATTTTACATCATTTTTTGTACCAGAGGCTATGTATCACACAGGACAGCTTGGGCAAGAGTGATCCACCCATTCGCGCGCCCCTGGCGCTGGAAGACGGTTTCGGCAGCCTGGGCAGCGGCTCAAATTTCATGACGCCTGGCGTTAATGGCATGTGGCTGCATGAATGGTTATGGTTAAATAGTTTGATACCCCATAAACCATCATAAACCATAGTTATTATATATTTACCCTCTGGTAAACATACAAAAAACGATGGAAAGATCCACCATTTTCTAGCTGGCAATGTTTCAACTATTTCGGTTGATCTTGAAAAATATGCGGATGTTTTTCTTGCAACCAACGCTGGGGAGTTAAGCATGAACATATTGGGAGTATAATTGACAAATTATAATTTTGAACATCCAAGAATTTGGATACCAGAAACAACTCTGGAAAACATGCTGGTTTTAAGAAGCAAGACAACGAGAATACATCTATTCAATGGGAGAAATCCATGAATAGATTGAAAATCTGGGGACTTAACCCCATCGGTGGTAAACCAAGGAAGGTGCTCTCGATGATTCCCATTTCCAGCTTTGCCAAAGAGAAACTGAAGGAGGGGGATGGGTGGATTATGGGCCATTTGCGGATAAGATGGATAAGTACTTTCTAAGTGATCCAGGTAGATTCATGTCAGTTATGTGTTTTTTGATAGATAAGATGTGGGTGTATTGGATGAATTAATGCATATTTCACGTTTTACATGGCTTGTCTTTGCGAAAAAGAAGCCGAAGAAGTCGCTGGACAAAAACGTGGGACCCAAACATGGTAAGTGATGATCAACTGCACAACAATGGGTACAAACCAGTCATGTTACATCAAAAAAAAGATAGTTTGTCTGAATTCGTGGGAAATTCCATGGGAAATTCCATCATCGCTGATCCAGTTGATCCTCCAGGAGTGGGGAGAAAAGAATCAGCTGATCTTGAGCATTCACTGGTACCCCAGCGGTGGCACGCTGGGGCATTTGGCGAAAGTCACGGTGGAACAGTACGTGGCGATGGGGAAGAAAGAGTCGGCCGAACTGATGGCGTCGTCTCCCATTTGGGTCTCGGAATTCTGTAGCTGGGTGAAACAAGGGAGATGTCGGAGATGTCAAATTGGGACGGAATGTGGTTCTGATGATATTTTTTTGGGGGGGATGTAGTGGTTTTCGTACCTGGGGTATATCCAATATGATCATATGGTATCTATAATTTTGTAAATACTACAAAGTAAGAGATCTAAGATAACTACGGGTTACGGTAGCTACATCGAACTAGTCAATGGGGTTCTCTTTGACGAACTAGTCGCTAACTACTTCCGGGGTGCAGTTCGGGCATTTTGGGTGGATGTTTTTTGGTGGGATATTTTGCGGGCACGTAGTAAATGGTTATATCTTGGGGGGATCAATGAAGACTTTTTCAATCTAGATATTTGATGGTGGATATCATGGGAGAACATGTTTCTGCGGATATAATGGGAATGTAGTGGGATACAATGGTGATTTCATGGGAATGTTATTCAATTTTGTCAAAAAAAGAGGGACCGCAGGGAACCGAAAACCTGAACATGACCAAAAAAGACATGTTTTTCGCATTCTTTTTAGTGGGCTGGTATTTGCATTGACCGGTGTAAAGTATGGCTTTGTTACGAGCAAAACGTCTATGTTGAGCCTAGGTTGGGCCCTTGTTGGGCTAGCCTTTAGCATGTGCTTTGCACCATTTGGACCCATGTTGAACCTATATTACTCCTATGTTGGGCTTCTCGTTGAGCCTATGTGGCTGATGTTATTGCAATGTTTGGCCTATGCTGGGCCTATATTTGGCAGTCTTGAAAAAACATAGCATTCCAGAGCAAAAATGTCCGCCCCAAACTAAAATGTACAACGTGTGCGCCTTCGATGCAGGTGGATTTGGGATCGCAAGATGGTTGGTGAATGGTTATGCTACAATATGGTATGAATAGGGTATATACACCAATAACTGACACAATCATGTATCATTAAAATCGGCGAATTGGCCCTTTGATTCGCGTATTTTCGAGTGATTTTTTTTCAACATATGTTCATACATTGAAACCAACAGAACTGGAATGAACTTATGCCCACCAGAGCTTTACACAGCATTTTCAGGCTTGTTGTTGACCTTAAGCCAGGTATGCTTCTTCCAGAACATACGGCCAAGTATCTGGCCGAGTTTACCAATGCTGGTTCACCCTGCACCACCTACTGGCAGTATACGGACACACAGTACACGCAGAGCTTCGGTTGGTACAAATATCCACCTGAGGTGGGGCGGAGAAGCGTTTTTTCGCGGAGATTTTTTCATGGGGAAAGAAGTGGGATGGGATGGGGACATATACATAATGACCATGGGGCCCCTGTTCGATAGCGTTCAGTTGCCTAAAAAGAGTGGTTTAACTATGATTTATGGTAGATATAAGTACAGTTCATGGGGGTTATTTCATGGTATAACCAACGTTCACATCACTGGGGGGCCCCATCCTGTAACCAAAAATCGGGACAGTGGAGATTTAAGCATCCAGGAAGCAACTTTCGATGGTGATTTACCCATGGATTTGGACTTCAAGGACTCAATCATCAAACACTTTCGGATGCAATGATGATATGGATCCGAAAGAATAACAAACTTTTTTTTTAATGGGGATAACCAGCAATCTGACGTTTGGCTTTGTCAACAAAATGGGTTGTATATGCCAAGTTATGGCTATTCTAATATGTTGATGGGTAAACCGCAGTGGTTCTTGCTATGTTTTGGGGATGAACATTCCGCTATACCAGCTATTTCGCTGTTCACCACCAGGATATTGATGAATAGCCATATTTTGTAGGTGTGTCCTTAATCAACATTTGTAACCCGATCCCTTGAAGATAAATTGCTCCCCAAATGAAACCCTGAAAAAAACTGGATATCTTCATTTGGGCTTCCATATTGGGGCTACATTTTCATGGGATTGGTTTTTTCAGGCCCCAAACACACCAACTGGACACATTGATTGAAATGGGGTGCATATGTTCCACTTAAGCCATGTATAGCTGGGATGCACATCCAACTAGATGCACTGATCCCCTCATGATAATCTATCATTGTCTCAACGTGGCAAGAAATAATGTTCAAAACATGAGAAATTTCAGGAAACAATGATAGATTATAATGAGGGGATCAGTCCATGTTTATCAAAAGGTCATCAAAACGAAGGACCTGTGGAGGATTTCCGGATTCCCATGGCAGGTGAAGCAGTATGGTGATCCGGTGGACGTGCTTGGAATTGTCAACGAGAAGGCGGGATCCGTTGACGAAAAAAAACATAGGTGTCTGTATCTGTGGCTATATCTAGATCTATCTTTGTCTATCTATCTAGAATCTAGAATCTAAATATATATATACATATATATGTGTATATTATATGTATTTAACAATAGTAATAATATAATAATAATAACTATATATATATATGTGTACACATTGTACATAGTTATATCATTGTATATCTATATAGTTACATAGGTATTCCATTTTTGGGGGAGTTCAACATTACTTGACATTGCTGGTTGACCCTCCAAGCCCCGTGCCAAACACCTGTCCCGTTTGGAAAATTGTCTACAAAAATATGGTCAAAATGGTGTTTTGTTTTCCATATGTTGAATTACTGGAGGATAGTATCTTCAGCAGTTCGTAGCTCAGTTTAGTTTTTAGGTTGTAACGTTGCTGGAAATCCATACGATGATTTGTGTACAGGCTCTGAATTCATAAGGGCCCGCCCAATCATAGAGTACCTCAAAATCCAGCAGTTGTATCATCATCTGTTTTCAAGATGGCCAGTTTTGGGCATACCCCATTCAATGGGATCTAATCACAAATGGTCAGATCCCAATAATGGCCCGCAAAAAAAAGATTGGCTCAAACATTTGCTCATTGGTGGTATGATTCCAAGGGAATTTCATGATTTTTGCTGTTAGATCTCGATGTTTGATGGTGAAATCCCCATACCCTCCAGTAAACTAACATAGCTATGGAAAATAGTCCATTCAGTTTAAGGTAAAATGATGATGTTCAATAGTTGTGTTAGTTTACCAGAGGCTATATTCCATTGAATCCCTATTATGTCCCCGTAATGGTTCATATAATATATATATATATATATCAAAAAATCCAGTAGATTCCCATAGAAGATCATCATTTTTTCCGTTGATATTCTCATTAAGTCCATCCCAGGCCTGGGCCGCATATGAACCCACCGTGGCAGATGGCACCTACTGGGGTGCACAGGTGGCGATGTGTTCAAGGAAGTCATGAGAGTTTTTCCAGGAATTATGGGATAATGATGGGAAATATCATTGGGATCCCTTAGTTATCTCATTATCATTGAGAGTATTTATCAGTTATATGCAGTGATGGGATAACTAAGGGACGATCATCGATCATTGTATTGAATTATGGGAGGATCATCGGGATAATCATGGGATCCGGTGGGATGATGGAGAAATGATGACCCCTTTTTCCAGATGGTTGCTGACCAAGATGGTATGCATGGCATTGTTACATGGATAAAACACAGTTATATGTATATATATATGCAGATAATTATTGTGTAGCTTATTTGTCAGGTATTCCAACAAATATTGCTGGTTCGATTACTTTGGGCCTTGCGCTTTCCCCTGCAGATTACTGGTTCTGGTGGCGGACAAACTGGCGTTCTGTCCAAAGTGAAGTAATGACAGGCCCATGAAAGAATTCATATTCGATGAAGCTCAAAGAAACGGCTTTTCGGCGCATCAAGTTTGGTTTTAAGAAATCAACTACTGGATTCCTGCTGGATTGGCATTTTCTTGCAACGATCTCGAGAGGAACCGCCGCTTCATATTCGATGAGAATGTGCTGTTTTTTAAATGTTGGGAGAAGGCAATTGTGCAGTGGCGTTAAATTTGGATTCAAGAATTGGAAAGTGACGACTGGGTGAACAAACCTATTTAAGCATGAAGCCTGCAGAAATTGTAGTTGGAACCCTAGTCAAAGTGGGATATGAATAGGTAGAACTGGTATAGACCCATCATCGTTTACTCTCTGAAACCGATTCCTCTTCACTTGTACAGCCTTCCTCAATGTGGGATTGCCCAGTTTACAGATTGACTTGCGCGCGGTGAGCATCAGAAAAAGATGAGACTTGAATTGTGATCTTGGAATTGGAATTGTCCGGATGAAGAACTGGCATAGAATAGGGAATCTTACATCATCCCAGGGCTAGAACCAAGAATAAACCAACCTATAGGGAATCGTTTCGTATCGGGGTTCCCTCGTTTGTCCACTTATTTCTCATATACCTACCCAAGATGTTGCGGACACAACACCATTATCTTTGTGGCAAAAACCACCGCTGCGGTTGGAAAGTTTTGGAACGAATTTGGAGGCATAGATCGTCGCCGTAGCCTGAGACAGACATACCCATACTCGTTGCGCTTGGCCGACCAAGACTATGGCTCAAGGTGTTCGCTGTTGACATGATCCGTTGGGTATAAGGTACGAAGAGTCCTGCTGATGTCTGTCGGTCCTGCTTATGTGGGTTCTTCAGCCAGTGGCTCAGCTAGTGGCTCCAACTGGCTTGATCTTCGTGTGGTGTGCTTGAATGGTGAAGGATGCATTCTGACTCTCAATCCTTCCACCATGGGCTGGGAAGTTCGCAAGATGGTCGCAGAGATAATTCCAAGGAAACGCGTGCAGCCTGGGCTTCACCACCTTGCTGCGCCATTGATGCTCGACAGAACGTTGCAAGAGCAAGGCATTGTGGGGACTGATACTATCCTGCACTTACATTCCAGCAGTTTTTGGGGCTGCATGGAATTCTGTCCACGGATTCCCAATCTTGGAGGATGACTTTGCATTGGAAGGGGTGACTGGGATAGAAGCAAGCACCTACGGTGAATATTTACTTCATCTTCCGAGAGTCTTGAAAGTCTGACTTTTGGTGACCGGTTCAACCAGGGTCTTGAACAAGTGACGTTGCCAAAGAATCTTCGAAGCTTGACGTTCGGTTGCGATTTCAACCAGAGTCTGGCACAGGTGGCATTGCCAAACAGCCTGCGAAACCTCCCGTTCGGTTCAGATTTTAATGAGAGTCTGGAACGTGTGACGCTGCCAGATGGTCTCCAAAGCTTGACTTTTGGTTCTGGGTTCAAACAGAGCCTTGAACGCGTGATTTTGCCAAGCAATCTGCAAAGCTTGAACTTTGGTGCCAGGTTCAACCAAAGTCTCGAACGAGTAATCTTGGGCGACGCTCTACAGAGCTTGACCTTTGGTGACAGGTTTAACCGACGCCTTTGTAACGTTGCCAAGTAATTTGCTCCATTTGACTTTTGGTGATGACTACAACCAGAGCCTTAAACTTAAACGAGTCTCGTTTCCAAAGAACTTGCAAAGTTTGACTTTCGGTTCCGGTTTTAACCAGAGCCTCGAACATGTGACCTTACCAGGCAGTTTGCAAAGCCGGGCTTTTGGCTGGAGGTTTAACCAAAGCCTAGAGCGGGTGGCTTTGCCCAGCAATCTGAAAAGTTTGACACTTGGTAACCAGAGCCTTGAAGCAGTCATGTTGCCCAGCAATCTGCAGAACTTGACTTTCGGTTTGATGTTCGATCAGGGCCTTGAAGGGGTGATCCTGCCAAGCAATCTGCGAAGCTTGGAATTTGGTGAAATGTTCAACCAGAGCCTTGACGGAGTAGCCTTGCCAAGCAATCTCAAGGACTTAGAATTTGGCGCAGCATTCAACCAGGACCAGGAAAGAGTGACCTTGCCCAGTAGTTTGCAAAGCTTGACTTTTGGTGCAAAGTTCAACCAGAGCCTTGAACGAGTGACCCTGCCAAGCAGTTTGCAAAGTTTGACTTTTGGTGATTCATTCAATCAGAGCCTTCAACGAGCGACCTTGCCCAGCAGTCTGCAGAGTTTGACTTTTGGTGCAAAGTTCAACCAGAGCCTTGAAGGAGTGACCTTGCCACAGAGTCTGCAAGACCTGACTTAAGCAGAGCTTTGAGCGAGTGACCTTGCCAAAGAGTCTTCACCGTCTCAATTGCAGTTCTATATCGATGAGCATGGCTTAATCTGGCTATGATAGGCTCATCAAATGTTTGTGGCAGATCTACAGGAGATCAAAGCATTGCTGGTCTCTGGTGCGACGGCAAAAATGGTGTCCAGCATGAGGGTGGGGCTTTCGATGATGGGAATCTCCATTCCTTCCAGAGCAATGGAGCATACGAACGAGCGTTCTCACTTTCATAGCATTTTACACGTCCATGAATGAAACTTCCTGTAAATCCACATCAATTCCATATAAAATCTATAGTAAATCCAGAAATTTACAAAGGAACCTCCTCTTTGCTCTTTACCCCTTCCAGAATTTGGAATGGTCAATCAGGCCTAGGGTCACTGGTCTCATCTTTGAACCTGTCAGCTGTTGGAAAGCCGGGTTGGTTTGGGCGAGTCTGAACATGTGGATGCTGATGGTAATTCGAACCATGTCTTTCTTTTTAATAGTGTCAGTGTTTGGTAAATGATGCACTATTTTCGTCCCATGATTTTCAGGACACAGGTCGCAACGCAGATCAAACCACTGTTCGCCCCATTGCAGGTGGCGCATGCGAGAGATTGATGAGTCTCCAGGCCGGGTCAACGGAGCCCATCTTCCAGACAGGTTTTTGGATGTTTTTGGCTGATTTTTTTTCACCATTCCGAAGAGTTGTGCTCCACAAAACCCTGGCATTTTCAGCCCAAGCATCAGGCAGTCACGACAGTCACGACGTCCCCCACGCCCGCTCCAACTTGCGACTTGCGACGCCATGCGTTCCATGCGCCGTGATACTGATGAGGAGGTCCCCATGGTGAGCTCCAGCGACAGCGATACCCAAAATGCTCAGGGCAAACCTTGGACGCTGGGTGTGGAACAAAAGTATGGTGTAACTGTGGCAAGTGCCAGAAAAAAAGGTTGGGATATCCCAAAAAAATGGCCATCTACCTTTATAAAAGTGGATTTTTATCGCTAATGATACTGGCAATTTGTTTGAGGGGACAAAGTCCTTGATGGATTTTGGGGGGATATTGATGGGTACCTCATTTTCAGAGCCATGTCCGAATTTCTCACTGCGATTGTTCCTTTCCCACTGGTGGATGATTTTTTTGGGTCATCCCCATCGAACAAGCGAATAACATAAGTACCCTCTGGTAAACCAACATAGCTATTGAAAATCACCATGTTTAATGGGAAAACCCACTATAAATGGCCATTTTCAATAGCTATGTTAGTTTACCAGAGGGTAATTTTTATGATGATTTTGGCAAATGTCAATGGGATGTTGATGGTAAAAATGTCAACAACCATCAATAGCTTATAGCTTTACGTTTTTTCTAACAGGACATTTTGCAGGAAACCAATGGGTTCACCCTAAACCCATCCCTAGGACACTCATCGTGGGGGCGACGCTTCTTCTCTCAGCTCTCCTTGGAACGATCTACGTGATGATGCCTCTGCCGCTAGGGATGGCCATGGATCAATACCTATACATAGCATTTTTAGGGGGATGAACATCCATTTTAACCCAGCTATTTTTTGATGTGAACAGAAGGGGGATAGGGTTTTGACCCATCCCCATATTAATTGGGATGTGAATAGATGTGAATAGATGTGAATAGATGTGAATAGATGTGAATAGATGTGAATAGATGTGAATAGATGTGAATAGATGTGAATAGATGTGAATAGATGTGAATAGATGTGAATAGATGTGAATGGATATCATGGGGATATTCGGATGATCATGGTGATCATATTGTGGATAGAAAAAAGGGAATTTTTGATGACCTTTTTGTTAATGGGATCGGACACTTGGGCCTAACCCCCATAAGATGGGATATGGGACCCCTTTTTGGCTATGAACACTAGCTATTTTGATGTGACTAGAGTACCAGGGTTGTGACCACCGTGCAGTACACATTTTAGGATATATAGTTATATAGATATAGATATATATATGTTATAGATATAGACTTTCAGGATAGACTATTTTCAATGTTCTGGTCCTTTTGTTTTCCCCGACCCCAATTGTAATTCCAGACAGTTGGCTGCAAATCGCATTCTTCAAACACGGCTTGACTAATCTACCTTCACGGCTTGACTGTTTGTTGCCAGCTTAAATTGCCCTGCGTTGTTTTTGTTTGTACCAATATATTGGATCTCCTATTGGATCTCCTATGATGTCAACATTTGCCGTTCTTTTTGAGATGTCGCTCAGCTTGGCGATTGAACAATTTTAGGAACCAACGCTTCTAATTCGTAATCAGATCTGTGGGATTTAGTTCCATTTGTTTGGGCTACCCTCTGGTTATTTAACATAGCCATGGAAAATGGCCCATTTATAGATGGTTTACCTATTAAAAATTGTATTTTTCCATAGTTATGTTAGTTTACCAGAGGGTTAATTTGGCTAAATATCTCCTTTATGTTCATTTACACCTGGCTTGTGCCATGGCAGAATGAACCACATATCATTCCTGGGTCCGCACATCTAGTTGTACACCTTCCCCCTGTTTTTTCTCTAAGGTGGGGACGTGGGTCCCTCATTGCAAAAAAAAAACATCAATTGTTCAAATTTCTAAACCATAAATCCAAAGAACCATCATTGGTCACCACTGATCACAGCGCCGTTTATACATATGATACATATGATATCTTGACCATAGTTCACCCACATCACAGCCATTCCCCGCTTCTTTGAAGCATTTCCACATTTCCTCAGGAAGAACGGCTCGTCCTCGATTGAGCTTCCAGGCCCTTCCGAAAAGTGGTCCTTGATCCCAGAATCAGTGCAGGACCTGACCTCAACTGGGGATATGGGATCATCCTGGAGATAGAAACCTGGGACTTAGTCACCAACAAAGGGCTAAAACGACAAAGTAACCCCGGATTCATTAAACCTCAACATTTGGTGATCAATATCCAAGGTACCGCCAACATGATCCTGTTCGACATGCCTCTTTCTTGTATGTCAAAATAACAATTAAATGCAGTATTGCAAACGATGGCCAAAGAAACAATAAACAAAAATCTTACGAGAACCAATATGGTTTATGTCATATTTTGTTGACTTCTGTAAACTTGTTGCTTAAGTTCCATAAATTCGGTAAGTATCTATACATACATATAATTTGACTTGTAAATATAGACGAATGTATAACTTGCTCAACAAATATTCACAAATTTGAAATTATTTTCCCTATGCTCTCAACAATATAGGTGTGTTATAAGCCAGTTAAAAATGATGCGACTTTGTAAAATTCCGAACCACAGTCTCCAAACCTTTTCAATCCCAAGTAAACTGTTGGTTTGTCAATGGGTTAAAAACTCTTGTCAATGGGATGGAGATAGCGATGCTCAGCTGGGTTGGTGACCGCTGCCATATGCTACTGGGAAAATGATTAGTTTTACCTCTGGTCAACATACAAAAAGCTATTGAAAATGGACCATAGAAATAGTTGATTTACCCTCCAGTAAATTAACATAGACCCTGGCAGATAGTTGGAAGATGAGTTTCCACTAAAAAGTTGGGTGATTTTCAGGGTCCAACTGTTAATTCACCAGAAGCTACCTATTAATAGCATGATGATGTGCCATCACTATCTTATGAAAAACCCTTTTGGCTAAGCCCTGGGTCAAAGCCACGGAGACGTCACAAGATTGGGATGTAGCTGTAGCGGTTCATCCTTTTGGAATCATCAATTTTAGTGGGGGATTTTCGGACCAAAACCATGCGATGCAAATAGTGGAACCCTGGTTTATGGGAATTGATGGTCGTTTCAATGTGGATCCCGTATTTCTGGCCGTGGAAAATGATGATCAAAATGATCAAAATTTGGGATAGGCAATGTTCATACAAAGCTGTGAGTTTTTTTTTATGTTTTTTTTGGGTGGGGGTTCAATCATTTGCCACAACTACTGGGAATGTGTGGTGGGGCATACCTGATGATATGCTGATCGCATAGGGATTATAGCCCAACTTATGGAGGTTACCGCAACGGTTCCAATGAACATCACCCCACCCCCAAGTCATGAAATGCTTCAAATCCATTTTGTGTGGTAGAAAAATCATTGCTTCAATCCCCCATGAAAGCATCATCCTACTGGTCCTGTTTCATATGGGGTTTACCACCAACATGAGCATTGAAAAATGACGAAAGATGATCATGTTTACCATCGAATTTCAGGATACCCCGGATACCCCTATTTTCATACAGACCAACAGACCAAGATTGTTGCTTCTATGCTCCCACTATGGAATACCACTTATGGAATCATGGCGATAAATCTGCAGGATAAAAAATTGATCGACCTCACGCCGCGTCGTCGTGTAAAGGGAATCATCTCCGGCCATGGCCGAAGTGTTCAGATTGGTGACTTATGATTACTTGTCAAGGATTCCCCAAACTTTTCGGTGAAAATGATTTCTCCAGAATCATATGGAGGTTTCCTGAAATGGGGAGTACCCCCACATCCATGTTATTTTCGGATTTTCCAATAAACCATCCAGCTTGGGGTGACTATGGAAACCCCATCCGACCCATCCATCTTGAAACGGTGGAGGAGAGCCTGGACGCGGCCTATGAAACCGTGCACAAGGGAGTTTCCGATCAAGTCTGGAAGACACAGCACCCAGTGTCTCGCCGCCAAAAAAAACGGGTCGTCACCAGTGGATAGGTGGGTTATTTATCCCATGATTTTGTAGGCTTTCAAACATCTAAGGTGCCGAAATCCCGCAACCATGCCTTTCAGTATTTCCAGTTGTCCCACGGTTCGATCTATTTTGTGCTACATATATATATATATATAGCTATATATATATATATAATCACCTGTTCATATGAAACACCCCCATGCTGACTGGTCTCAGTCATATGTGATTTCATCCCCCTATGAAACCACGGTTTCTTTTGGTGGTGTTTAATTTTTTACGGGGGATGGGATGAATCCAACAGGGGTGTACCGGTATACCCTTTACTATTTATTACTGGTTTATTTCAAGTGGTTATTCACCAGCAACTGGGATACACATGAAAAAGTCTGGAGGAGGTGTGATATTTCTGGTGTGACAATGGGATGTTAAGAAACTCAACATGTTGTGGATGAAGTGGATGAAGTAGTGGTGTACCATGGATCTTTGAAAGATTTATATCGCATATTAAAAATGGGGATGCTTCACGGTGTAGACTTTGGGTATTGAGTACTGAAGTGGGGGATATCAGCTCGACGCATGATTTCATGGTTTTATCAGAAATCTGTTGAGTATTTACGTCCCCATATTGTTGGTGAGAGCCCCACAACATACTGTATCTTGTTTATTCTTTTTTTGGGTTTAAGCCCACAGTTTTGGACAATTCAATTTATCACATTCTGAGTTGAAGGACCCCTTTTATCCCCGTTGACTGCTGGTATCCCGATAATCTTCGACGATATTCTCCTTTACCCTATGGTATTCACTGTATTCCCATGCCCCTTAATTATAGGTATCTCCCCTAAATTCATTGTTTCGGGATTATGTTGCCATTGAATACTTTATTTTTGTTGGTAAATGCCCGATTTGTTGATGATTGTTGTTGGTTATATAGCTCATTTTGTCTCGTTGTATCCCCAATTTTGTTGGTTTTATTCCCCCAACTTTGATAGCAATTTCCTCATTTGAGCAGAAAGCTATCACCTCTTTTGCTGGAATCCCAGTGTTTTGATGGTTAAATCCCAAATTCTTACTGGTGTTTCACCCATTTTTGCCACATGTTTCCCTTTTTTTGTCTCCCAAACAGGCTGCTAGGCTAACCTCATGAAAATTGCTGAAGTCCCCAAAAAAGCGCTGCGCTTTTTCCTCGATGGTTTCCCAGGAGATGATGGAGAAGTTCAAGAAGTACGACGTGGACAACGATGGTAAGATCTCGAAGAAGGAGTTGGTCACCTGGGTCTTCGGCCCCAACGGAGCGGATGAGAAGGCGTGACCGAAATGGTGCTGAAATGATTCGATGATTTGCATGTTTCACATCTTTTTTGGATACGTTTCTATTTTGTTGGGGGCTCACGTATGTACAAAGATATATGTACATTCATAAACTAATACATGTATTATATATATATTATACGTTCCTTTACATTCCTTTATATTACTTGGCATGACATTTACACTATACAACATATGCCAAAAAAAATGGTTCATTTATCAACATGATCATTGTCCCCACCTGGGATGATCCCAATTCACCCCCCCAAAAAAAAATCAGGCTTGAAACCGCCAGATGTGTATATCTAATCTTATAGACATATATATATATATACATATGTATATGTACATGTATATGTATATGTATAGATATTGGAAATCATTCGGCCAAATCGTTGACAAAATAGCCACCACATAGTTGGAGTGGTTCCCATCAGGAGGTGAAGACAAGCGTGGCGTGCTTCGTGGAGAAGTATGGCCCGAAGGGTGGCTTGCAGCGACCAAAAAAAATTGGCAAAGCCAATCATGGTGATTTCATGGGGATTTAATGGGGAATATATGTAACTTAATGGGATTTAGGGCGATTTAATGGAGATTTAATGGGATTTTTACCGGTATATACCTTCCGGTAATCAAACATGGCAATTGAAAATCCTCTATAAATGGTGGGTTAATGGGAAAATGACCTATCATTTTTAGGGGTTTTTAACCATTGCAATAATAAACCATGGCCAATAGAGGTGTCTGAAATTGTGTATACCAGCAGTGGGATAATATTTATCATAACCCCTATAGTTGGGCAGCAGATCATACAAGATTTACCAGAATTTAGCCCCTCGGGGTTCAATCCATACCCCAAAGGATGGGGGTTATCATTGGGCTATGTACTGTACTGACTTACAGATGGTGTTGGTGATCAAAAAAGTAAGCCAGTAAACTATCCCGACTAAGCCCCCATGAATCAGGCTGGGGTTTGCATTGTTGGTTACATTGGCTGTATGCCCCCAGTATACCCCATGTCAAATGATAGAAAACACCCCGTTTTTGTGGCAAATCCATTTCAGGTTACATAGCCTCATTATATCCTCAGAATATCCTTGTTACGGCAAATATTACCACTCTATTCCGTGATATTCTACTTATAGCTTCATTTTATTAGTGATGTTTTCCCACAAGATACCCTAGCTTATCCGTTGCATCTTCATGACCATGAATTTTAGACATCCCCATTATCTTCATGTTGCCATTAATGCTGGCGGGACTATGTGCTGCCATGAAATAACTTCATGTTGGATTGCGCTTTTCTCATTTGTTGATCGTTTTTGTTGGTTACATGGCCCGTTTTACCCTATTATATATTTCCTCTTGTAGCTTCATCGTGTTGGTTGCATGTTCCCATACGACGTTACGATACCCTATGTTTTCATTTGTATCCCTATGCCTATTAATTTTAGATATCGCCATGGTTGATGGTTAGAATTCCCACAGTGTTGGAAACCGCCATAAGCCCCGTCCCCCCGTAATAGGTCTACCGCATTTTTTGCTCAGCGCATTGTTTCACTTTAATGAAGAGTTCAAGTTGGGTGTTGAAGAAACTTATGATGCGAACCCACTACAACTGTTGTGGGGTGCAGCCAATTGTTTGCCTGAATCAACCAGCAGGTTGAGCAGGTTGCTGGATGATGATGTTGCAATGGAGCATTTATTCCAACCAGCCAAATGGAGGATTTAATGAGATAATCATCTGAAATGGTTGATTTTACGTTGCCATGATTGATTACCGAAGGGTATGATTGGGCCACGCTATCACGAAAGCTAGCTTCTGCTAGCTGAAGTCCCTCTTGCTTTCGCAAGGTATTGTGGGGGCTGGAATCTCCACAGTTAAGTACCCTCCCCCGGCTGGTTCACAAGCAGTTCGGCCATGGCTCAATCCCCCCCGGGGACACCGTCAGCACGTCGCCACCTCTCATCCTCAACTTTGGTTTTGTACTGCGTTACTGTTTCCCGCGCTTCCAAAGATCCACTCGGATGCCGAAGGTGGACCTTCGAATCTTCCCCAATCACTGGTCGTCATGTTGGCTATGCTGAATTTGCTCAACCCCTTCGTGCAACAGTACATAATCATATGTTCTCATCCTCGTCCCCTCCAACATACATCGCCCCAATACGTAGGTCTGGATGTTCGCCTTACTAACATGCTTCAGACCCGCTCGTCCACGTTGATGAAAAGGTTGCGCAGCTGCGCTGTGCCCTCTGCCGAGCTCCCTGCCAAGCTAGCTTTCGTCCCTTACCCCTGGGCCCCAAGTAGGCAAATGATTGCCACAAGGAGGGGACGTTGTTCCGTTGGTCCTTTTACCTCTGACTTTGCCCATCTCTCCCCCTCGTTTACCACATTACTTAGAAGAAACTGTTACCAATAAACATGTGTGATGATAATGACAGCAACCGTAACAATAATCACAACAATAGTTGTAGCGATAATGGCAGCCATGAACAACCATAGCAATAATATCAATGATAGTTATGATAATAATGAACATTATGAAAACAACAATAACGATAATGAAAATAATGAAAACAATGATACTGATTGCAACAACATCAATGATGATGATATTCGTTTATATACAGCATGCGTTATATCCCTATAGCTACCCATCTATTCCCATCGAAGATAGCTTCTGTGTTCGGCCAAGTCACAAACCCTGTTTTAGACATCACCCAAGACATATGGGTTTGCCTGTTGTTGTTTTGACAAACCTTCATAAGGCCCATGGTTTTAGAATTTCTGTTACTTTTCCCATGACTCACCAGGTGGGGAATTGTCGCCGCAAGAGATGTACTACGTCTTCGGACCCATCATCAAGTCAACTGGTGGCTACCTGGACAAGATTGGTTGTTAGTGCTGAAATTTCAAGAGCGCAGTCCTTGTTGCATGAAATTTATTGGCCACAGCAACGCTTCGCAGTCTTGAGGGCAAAAATCTTGAAGGACTGCTGTGTTTCAATGCCCCTCTTTTGGTAACTCAGACATTCCAATTCTTGCGGATCTGTTTCTTTTCAAAGGAAACATCAACAATTGTTTTAGGTCAAGTGGGGTGCATCGAAAACTTGAAACCTTTTGCTGTGGCATCGTTTGAACTGGGCATAGCTCTTTGTAGCTTGCCAGACGTCTATCTCTGCGACAAACATACTCGCCACAATGGATGAGAAAAAGGGCAATTCAGCTGTGCGGACGCAAATATGATTGGACTAATGTGCCAAAGCCAATGCTACTGGTGTTTTGGTCATGTTAAATGGTTTTCTAATGGTATTTAACCGCTATTAATGATTTTGAATGATTGAACAATGGTGTTTAATGTGGGAAACCCTGGCTGCCATAGACCTACGATTTTGGGACGGTTTTTTTTCACCCATCATGTGCCATGGTCAAGTTGGATTGGATTAATCAGTCCTTGGGGGTGGCAATAATCAATTTCATAGGGATTTATCTACACACTGCATTTGGATTCCCAATGATATGGGATGGATGACTTTAAACCATATACCATGTTTTCACTGTGGCGTATATATCTTTTGAAGCCAACCATATTCCAATGGGGATATAATGGGGATACTATGGGTTTTATTACTCATGATAAGTGGCATAAGGATGAGATAATCATGTTTTACTTATGGTACATAATCAAAGGAAGTTGGGAAGCAATCTTCCGAGTTACGGATGTCGGATGACTTTTATTCGAGTGACTTTACATCACATAACAATACATCACACAACAATACATCTGACGAAGGGTGGCGAAGTGGTGACAATACATCACATACAATATATCACATAACAATACATCACACAACTACATCACATAACAATACATCACACAACAATGCATCTGACGAAAGGTGGTGATGGAGGGAAGTGATGGGTGATGGCGAAGGGTGATGACGGAGGGAAGTGGTGACGAAGGGAAGTGGTGGCAAAGCGAAGTGGTGACGAAGGGAAGTGGAGACCTGGGAAGTGGATCACAAAAGGGTGGACCTCTGGTACGAGCGCATCGAAGAATCGTGGCCGCTCAACGAAAATCATGTTTTTTTATTTTTTGGAAACCAATCGAAGCTCTCAAATTGTTTTTTGGAAAAATTGGCGTGCTTCCTTGTCTTATGGATTCATCAGTCTAGCTTGCAGATTCCGTGGCAGGCGTGGCATTTTGCGAGATGTGCTGAAAATTGACGGAAGCCTCCCACGAAACATCGATTTTGAGGTTGCAAATTTTCAGGTTCTAAGGAAAACTCGTAGGAAAACATAGATTTTGAAGCTACAAAGTGTCAAAATTGGAGGAAGTCTCGCACGAAGTGCTCGTGTTGATGCTCCAACATGTCTCGTCTCGAGTCTCTGGTTTTCCTCTGGCTTCGCCGTGTCTATGGGGGAAGCTGCACAACCTATCCCTTTTGAAGGTGTCAAAGCAGGTTGTAATTCTCAAAACCTGGATAAACCATAGCGACCTTTCAACAAGCTTAGCATTTTCTGGTTGGGAGATTTGGGGAAGTTGCCCCCCATTTTATGGGTTTATTTCTTGATAGTTGTCCCAGAATTGGTGGGACAAACCACAGGAACCCCCGGGCCCAATTTGGGCAAAAACGATGGTTTCAACCACAGACTTTTACCAGGGAGGGGAAGATGTCACGTTTCTCAACCATAGGGGTCTTCTCCAAGAATGGGGTACCAAAGGGAGATCCGATGGTTTATATTTTTTCCCATTAGAATTGCCACGCATGCATGTTTGGACAAATAGAGAGCCTTGCCATATTGCCAAAACAACCCCATGGTTGGATATATGTTCTGCATCTTTATGCAAAATGTCAAGTCATGGAGTAAATTTGACCGTCTGAAAATGGAGACATCCATAAAATGGCCAGAGAACATTAGTTTCACCACTGGAACCACACGATTTTTAAACAAACCCGGAAGGAGTTGAGCATCCCATCGCCCCTTCAGAAAAAGATCCCAATTTCATTCTGACTGGTCCCAGCCATATGTGTTGAAAAATCCCCTATGAAACCATGGCTTTTTGGGCTTGTTTCATATGAACGGGGGCCGTCGGATGATCCATCGCAATCTGCAGGTCGCCGGTGGTTTCTGGTTGCTGAGTCAGGTTGATCAGTGACCATCCGGAGATCCCACATGGTGGAACATTCCCCATCTATGCCATGGATTTTCCCAGTAAAACCTCCATGTATATTCCATTGCTATGTTTCATCATCGGAGGTTAATTCATTCGCTTATCAGAGTGAATTTCACAAAATGTAAGAATGCATCTTCCGTTGACAGTCAAAGGTTTATTTAAGCTCATGTGCTGTCTTTCAGAACGGATGGTAGAATCGCCACATCTTTTCAAGTGAAGCGATTCCGGAACTCAAGTTCTGGCAACTACTCTCAGGTGTACTTTAGCATAGCCAACAAAGAAAGCGGTAGTTGCATTCGGACGTGAACAGGCTTTTCCAGAGTCTCAGCAAAATAGAGTTGTGCGCGCCTCAACTGGATGGGGGTTAGGAGGTAAAAAGTTTTCGTGCACTTTCTGGCTGGGGAAGCTTCAGAGTTTTTCCCGCCCTGCAAGGTGAGGGTCCCTAGATTTTAACATGACACGTCCCACACCCTTAGTTTTCAGTGGACATAGGCACTGTCGTTTCATGGTTTGAGTTTTGATTGCTGACCATGTTGCGGCTCCATACTTGTAGTTTAAATTCCGAGTCCGCGGGTTCATTTCGATGCCGGAACACCCCATATACCAATGTTTGCAGACTCCAAGTGTTTCGAATATGTTTCACCAGTTTGGATTGCTAATTCGCGCATTTTTTGCGAATTACCACCTGTTTTGGTTCAATCTGCCCCCGACCGCCTCTGCAAAGATTAGTTGAAACAACAGCACTGACCCGCCATTGTGCCATGGGCTGAGCCGGTTCTCCACGCAAGGCCGCCGGTTGATGTGTACATGTGTGTAATGAAGTGTTTCTTCAAAACTTGATATATGTTGTTTTGCCCTGAAGATATGGGGAATTGGCGGGAAATACCGGGATGTAACTTCAATCATGGGTGGAACATCATTAGCACTAGATTGCGAGATGAAATCATCCCACATGAGTCTGGGGAAAGATTATCCACTGCCAAAAGTTGATGTTTTACTCCCATTAATTCACATAGACGTTGAAGGCGTTTCATGCCTAAGTCATTTTCCTAGGAAAACGCATGGATGTTGATATCGATGTTGCTTTATTGCAGGGTAGATATTATTTAATGACGAACTGTGAGTTTGTTGGCATACCTTTGACCTGTACCGGAATGGGACGGATAACCATGGTCATCACTGGACCAACACAGCTACCCAACGTGTCACACTTCGTATTTCACAAAGATCTGAATGGGGTGTACATCTTGCGTATCTGAGGTGTCCAAAGCAGCTTCCGCAGGAAGTTCTGCATTGCCATCACCACCGGAAGCATGGGCTCAAGTGGCGACCCAGGAAGCTTCAAAATATCGTGATCAGTACAACCAAAATGGGGGTTTATAGTTATATTAGTTGATTTAAGTTAGCTCATATCTATAGTTGATGGGGGTAAGGTACCCTAGAGATCTGCGGTCGCAACAGCCCATTCAGTTTGGAAACCACAATCCCATAAGACAACCCAGTTGACCCGCATTGCTTCGAGATTTCATGAACTCCAAATGGTTCTATCTGAGTTTTTTCTTACAAAGTTCTCCAAAGCCATTTGATCAAATAATGGACATTTCTGGTTCCACCTATATGTTTTTTCTTCATTCATGTTCCATCCATGGTGTTGATTCCCAATCAGATCCATGGCTTTGAAGATCTGTGAAGACTCGATTCAAAAAACCATCCAAAACATCCAAAAAGAACAGCAATTCTCAGCTCCAAAAGCCGCAAAATCTCTGAGAAACTGCCATGTGGCGCCTCGCCCGCGTTGGTCGTCTCCGGCATCAGAGTGTGCGACGCTTTGCGGCGGCGCCCAGCGTGCGCCGTGGATGGAGATGGTGCAGCAATTGAAAATCTGGATTTCACTATGGTTTATGGTCGGTATGACTATAGTATACTATAGTAGTCATGGGGTTTACAATGGTTTATAAACCCCATTATAATGAGTGAATTTTCCACGTTGGTTTATGGCATTTTGGGATCATCCCATAGTGGAAGATCCCATAGGTTGGTTTGGAGGTTTGGGTTTTGGAAAGTCATCAAGACTGAAAGTTCAATTGAATCTGGTTAGTGGTTTGGAACATTTTTCCATATATTCCATATATTGAGAATAATACTCCCAACTGACTAATATTTTTCAGAGGGGTTGAAACCATCAGCCAGGAATGTTAAATCATTATGATGACTATTAGGGTTTTTTATGGATTTAAATGGATCATTAAAAATTAGTCATGCTAAGCATCAAAACTGGAAGTCTTTCCTGGAATTTAAATCATCCCTAATAGGATTTTAATATCATCCCTAATAATGTGGTAAACCCCATAATAGAACCTTGAATCATCCCTAATAGGGTTACCACTAAATATTCTTATTTGGGAAAGAAACAATCACAATAGACTATTGCTTATGGGATATACACCCACTAATGGGATATGTGATGATATGTTTCATTAAATTGGAAATGGAAGGTCCCATGTAAATGGAGGCGTTTATGGATATCACAATGGGGTTTTCTGAGAAAAACGGGATTGCACGGTGGCTGGTAGTTTACTGGGAAAAGAATCATTACTCCAATTCTAAATGGAAATAAACGGCTGTTGTTTCATGGGAAAAGCATTTATAAATAGGATTCTAATTGGACTAGAAGTGTTGGGGAGATGGTGAAGTAAGGTTACCCTCCAGTAATCAAACATGGCTGGGAAATCCCTTCCAAACAAAGATTTAAATGGGGAAATATCAGTGATCTATTTACGTTTGAGATTCTTATTGTGACCTTTGTGATTAGCGTGGCAAGCCATCCCCACAAGGGTGCTGTATTGTTGAGTTGACAAGGTTACTCAATATGAATCAAGTGTCTTTAGCGCTTATTCATTGTGCGCTTATCATGTTTAAATAAATGTATTATTATGGTTAAGGATTATGGTTACTAAGACGTGTATATATATATATATACACACCTACATATATATATATATATATATGTATGATATATATATATATGTGGTTGATTCGCATTGTTATTTTGTCACTGCTTGTGGTAGATCATGATTTATTAGCGTTATTCACTGTGTGAGTTTAAAGCATATTAATGTTTTTCAGTGTTAATAGCTGGTATTGTAGTCAAGACGTATGGTTGATAATTATGAGTCATGACTATGGTTATTAATATCTATGTATGGTTGATTTGCAGTGTTGTTGAATTGTTGTTCGTATGGTAAAAAAAAAGAATAATGTTTAGGCATGGTCAACAATGTTTAATGACCATGGTTGGTGTTTACTATTTTTTTATTGTCATTATGCTCATCATTATTGTGTTCATATGGTAATCATTTTTGCTATTGTTGTTGTTCTTGTTCTTGTTGATATCCGGGTATCGTTCAAACTAAAACGGAAGATCATTTTACGAGAGCTAGGTTCAATAATCAGCTCTCCAAATGGCTGGTCTTCCCATAGACTCCATAGATATAAGAAAGCCCTCTCCGGGGGAAACCATTGTGTTTTCCATATCTAGCGTTGCCAGAATGGGCATCCCCTCCCATTCTTGTTGTGTCAGTTTTCGCTGCTAGATCTTGGGGTAGAATGCCAACACCCAACCACAAACACACAAACATTGTTGTTCAACTAGCCTTTTTGATCAAAGATCTGGCGGCACCCCCCATTCAATTCCCTACAACCCGGCAAGCTATTTTCAAGTGGTACAGCGACAGCCCCCTGACATGTGTTTCATGCAGAAGCAACATGCTTTGCAGCAGGTCATCATGGGTCCAAATCACCTATTGTAAACCAGATATTTGGGGGTTTCCTAAAATGGGGTGCCTCCAAATCACGCATTGTTTTACGATTTTCCAGATTCCCAATAAAATGAACCTATCTCCCCCATCTGGGATTGTTTGAAAATGGGGTGCAAAAAAAGATGCTAACCGGGAGGCTTATTGTTATCAATGGATTTACCACATGCTCAGACAAAGCCATATCCAATCATGTTTCTTACAGTCAGTTAAATCCCATGAAAATTCACACTAATATCCACTTGATCACCGTGTTTTTGCTAATACCCCCATTGTTCCCATTCATAATCATAATCCATTAATGTTCCCCGCTATATCCATTAACATTCCCCAATTAATATTCCATGAATTCTTTCATGTATATTTGTTTATATAATAATATATATATATGCCGCTTAAATGGTTATAATTCCATATCATATAATTCCATATATCTACAAATATATATATATATATAGAGCCATTTTTTTGTTTGGTGTCCAACGACGTGAAGCCTGAAATCATTGCCCTTCAAGGCAAGAGGTGATTGAAGCCGCCAAGGAGGAGCAAACTAAAAACAGGAAAGCCCAATGTGAAAAATGGGAAATGGAAATCGATGGTCCGGTGAAGATTTCCCCATCAATTCATTGAGTTATGGCTTGCAATATTGGTGATTTTTTCAGCTTGTAATGGTGATGAATAGTGAGATAATAGCCATAAGAATATTATACCTCAGATATAATGGGATAATGGCAGAAATATGGCTGTATCAGATAGTGCTGGGCCACACTGGGATAATAATGGGTATACAAAGAGGATCAAAGGGGAGAATTGAAGAATCATAAGGGATAATATTTGGATCAACTATGTCGTGACCTCACATCGCGACGTAACTCTGTATTTCAGGTTGGTGAATCATTGCGATTTATCCATAGGTATGTATATATATACATGTGTATGTGTATATATATATATACATATGTATACATATGTATATATATATATATATGTACATGCTTTTGTTCTTCAAGGTTTGGAGCATCGGCTCTCTAAAATAGGTTTGGTCATTAGCAGAGGAGGCCATGTAGAAATACAGTACTGTTTTGCATGTCAATGTTATCACTTCCACGGAACAAAAGGAGGGGAGAGAAGAAGCTCCGGATATGCGTCCAAGAATTTGTAAAAGTTTGAATTGCAAGGTTCGTAAAAATCATCTAATTTCCGCACAACAAGAGACAAGAAACAAAGCAAGAGCAAAGGAACGACAAGAAGAAAAACAGCAAAACCGTTTTCTGACTCCGGCAAAAACTATGGTTTCGCAGGGGGGATTTGATATTAGATGGGATTGAATTCATAATTGTTCATTCTTTCTATTTCTTCAAAGCCTATCTTTATTGGTTTATTGGGTTGCCCGATTTTCCAGGAATCGCTAGTAGATGAGAAGCCTGCCGTTTCCTCGGCGCGGGGTGTGCTATGGGTGGCCAATGTGTAGCTTCACCGCAGCTGCTTTAATGAGGGCAACCACCAATTTCTATGGGTGATTTTACCATGAAAAATGTGGATTTAATGTGGGCAAATTCTCCCCAAATAGCTTTGTTTCAGGTTAGTGAAATATGATAATCTACCCAGATTTAGCACATAAATAGTGGATATGAGTGTATCTGAAAATGTGGTAGACCTTCAAGATGGTATCACATGGTGACTAAGCACTGGATTTAGGGGTATCCTATGATAGACAAACCCATATGGGAAGATTTCAGCCACTGAAACTGGGGATATCGAGCACCAAATGCCTGGTTTTCCAGATCGGAATGCTTGGCTGCGCCACTGTTCTCAAGAATGAACACACGACAAGACTTTCATTTTCTTTCACTCCGTGAAATGCCTCGTAATTCCTCGAAAAGTTCTACAACCAGCAATTCTGGCGACCAGTCACGCTTTGCAGATACCCATCTACCCATCTGGGATAGCCATCTGAGTCAAATCAGATTCATCATCGATAATCTCTAATATATCTGAGGTATTATCGATATATCTATATATATATATTAAATCATATATAATCATTATGAAATCATCTAATATCAAAATTAGATAAATCCTCAATCTGAGTCATCTGAGGTATCCAACGAAAGCCTTTCGCTTCGATGTCCGACACATGCTGACGCACCACAACCATGAGCCCCTTGGAGCCACATGCCGGGGATCGACCGCGACCTCGGTGGCCGAAATGGAGTTGTCTGGAAAAATCATGGGAAAATCATGGGAAAATGTGGGTATTTTCCATGAGTTCTGTGGGATAATGATTTTCCAGCCATGAGTTTGATGACATCAGCTAGGTATGGTTCTTTCGATTGTCCATTTCAATGAGATATGGTTTGTCCTAAAATTGGAGATAGTCAGCCGACTTTCTTGCCATGGGGAAAATTCATGGCTATGGTGCTCCCCATTGAAGAGGAACCTGCTATCTTTGTACAAGATCCCCATGTTTGTTGCTTATTGTGTGTACTTGATGAAGTTCCAACAAGAAGCTCTATGGCCATAAAAGTTGGGGCCCCAACTTTTGGGGACCATGCGTCCTATCCCAACTCCACCGTCCGCATGGGTCGGGTAGGTGAACATGCCCAAATGGTCCCTGTTCATTTTGGAAATCTGAAAAGCAGAGTAGCTGTGTTTTGATCACCCCCATTACCGGCAAAGACATCCATTGCGTGCCAAGTTTGTTGGTGAAATTCTGGAAGGCTGGCTAAATTGCCATTTCTGTGACGCTACATCTCATTGACGGATGATTTTCCAACTTGATATGCCAATATAGCCTTAATTGGATCTTGTAAACCCAATCCCCAAATTCAAACTGGGTGGTATAAAACATCCCCGGTCATGGCCGGTTTGGGGTTTACCCAAGGACACTGATCCCGCAGCTGCTACCGGACGGGGTGGAGGCGCTGAGTTCTCAGCGGGGCCATGGGATGGCATATTGGTCCCCTACAACGATCTATAACTCACTAAAATAAGTGGAACTATAAGTGTAACTGTACCCCCAAGTGGAAAGTACTCCAATCTAATCCACATAAATCCGGCAAGGACCCTGCATATCACTCATATCCCATATCCCGTTGGGTATCAACTCATTGGCCGCAGATCACCAAGATGGTGCCGCGGGAAAAAGAGGGCGGTGTTTTCGTCTACTTCCGCGCACCACCGACCTTCGTGCTGCAGGCGCGACGCCAAGTTGACTTGTCAAAGTTTCATCAGATGGGATGTAGAGGGCTGAATCCTCACCAGTACACTGAGTTCACATAGAAAACAGAGATCATCCAGGATCATCCAGACTAATCTTGATGCTAATCTTGATGCATATTGACCCCTAGTCATGTGTCTTCAGAACCCCATGACTGCGGTACATCACTGTAGCTTCGGAGATCTCTAGAGATTTGGTGGGGCCTCAACGTCCCAAAAATAAATGTGTGATGTGCTGTGCCTAGGATATCTCTAAGTTAGTTGAGTGCTTGTCAAATGAGGCGAGATCTAACTCGTTTACTCGTGATTTTGTTTGTTCATCCGAGAGCCCCATACTAAGTCCACTAGATCATCACTCTGCACATAGAACTATGGAATGATTCCCCAAAACTGCTTTTGTATTTGATCCAAGTGCATTTTCAAAATTCATGGTTTTTGTCTCATTTGAGCTCAAGTGTTTCTC